GTTAACTAGAATCTTGGTAGGAATTAATAAGGCGGATTTCTATAAGTTACGGTTCCTACTTACTATAATAGCTTGTTGTATGGGTGCAATGATTCCCTGATACATTGTTAAACTGCTTCAATGGTTCACCCGGGCGTGGGCGGGAAATATAATGCTATCAATTTTTTTGTGTTTCCTGATTGTTATCGTTATTGAGACACAGCAGGTATTATTCTGAGCACGTAGGCACATTATCAACAACAACAGCAAATACATCTCGAGTGTGCCCCCATCTGATAGTACAGCAGAAAGTGTGATAATGGTCTGGTGGTATTCAAGTGTCCGTTAGGCGTTAGCTAGGTTATCCTGCATGGCCCATGCTATGACCAATGCAAATTTTCAACTGCTAATCTGAAAATATTCCTGTGTCATGCATAGTAAATTGGCTCATTCTTATAAATGTTTCAATGTTTCCTCGCGAAGGTTCATATGTTGACATCGGCTCCAATTCCTATGTTTGTCTAAGAGGCATACACTTGTAAAACTTGGATTGGGTGTTGAAGTGGCTGTTTGCGTTTCTTAAAGATAATACATAATAATGTAGCTACTCATTGTTGTTTTTCCGAACTCACTGTCTCGAACCACGGATGACACAATGCAAATATCCAAGCCCTTTAAGTTCTAAATAATTTCACTATGTTGTATTTTTGTATCTCACAATAACAAATATGTCACGAACTAAGCTTATTCGTGAACATTCTGGTTAGAATTGGTCTCCAGTAACCAATGCTTGCCATTATGAGGCGGCTAGCGGAATCAAATGGTCAGGCTCGCTGACATGGTTGACACTCCGTGTCTCAGGAACGTATCTCATGAAGTTAATCCCAGGATTGACTGGTCCAGGTTCCATCATTTACAGACAATCGTTGCATAGCTGGAAGGTTGCTGGGTTTGGCGTTGCTGAAAAGCAGTGATGAAACCATGATTTCCTTTCTTACAGGTGACAGGTCACATAATTTGCTTACCTCAGAATGTGATGTCATAGCATTGCACACCATGAGTTATTTACAAAGTCGAGTGACAGATTGATTGTCATACAACCTCTGGAATTACCAAGCATTTGATTGTGAAAGCATTATATAAATGTATAGTTGTAAATAGAATGTGTTGGCCCATGACATTTGAATGAAACGTATCTAAGTATTTTGCTCGACTCCATTTGGGATACCTAAGTCTAAACCATTTCAGGCAGACCGGCAGTGTAAAACCCGTGAAAGTCCTGGTTACAATATTGATCTTCAGTAACCCATGCTTGTAAGAGGCGACTAACGGGTTCGGGTGGTCAGGCACGGTGACTTGGTTGACACATGTCATCGGTTCCTCACTGCGCAGATCGATGCTCATGCTGTTGATCAGTGGATTGTCTGTCCAGACTCGATTATTTAGATACCGCCTCCATATAGCTGGAATATTGTTGAGTGCGGCGTGAAACTAAACTCACTCACTCACTTATCAGTGTAAAATGTCTACGCAGAGAAAACACTGAAATTGTTTCTCAGTTGACTGTTTTCATGTGTTGCATTGCTGAAAGATATAAGGTCGCTGTGAAAGTCAAAGTGGGTGAAGGATTGTCATGGTACTATTTGTGTCACATGCACACGATCATAGTCCATGCAAACTGCAAGTGTTAATACGGGTATTGTATAACTTGGTACTATATAATCTCTGACAGAGCCGCACCTCATTGTGCTCAGCCATATGTCTTATAGCATTTAAAATGACAATATGATGAAAACATGACGTTTAGGGGACATTACGATGTCATACCCTCGGGACGTTGTACACGTGATTAGATGTCAGGTGACAGGAAACTAAAGACATGTGCATGTCAATATTACGTTTATGTGAATGATATTAACCATTCTTCAATATCATACTGTTATTTATATCATTATTGTCAGAAGTATATTAGGCTCAAAGTATTTTGATATTCCCTCGTATATCGCCTGTACTGAATGTCTTTATCAAACGTGTATTTCACACCTTCGATAAGATAACGCTAGTCAATGAGATGAAGCCACTGCTGGCTTATTTCAATCACTGCATTAGGCATAAGCAAGCCATCCGCATCCGAGGTAAGAAACTAAATATGTGAAATTCAAATTGGTATTTGATATTGGTATAACTCCTTAAAGATCTTGAAATAGTTATGTTTAATAGTTATGTACAGGAAGAAATATGAATGTAGCTTGTGAGTCACCGTTGCCATATACCGAGATTGTAACGATGTGAATATATTGATACAGTTTCCTCTAACCACAGAAGCTGGCTTCTTGTTAACAATGTTGTGCTTCTTCATCGATATTAGGAGCATAAGCTACACCGTATACAAACGCTGCAGTACGTTTCCCACATCAACAGACATCTCTATTCTGAAAGCAGGGTTGATTGTACAATTCCGATTATATTTGTTTATGGAATCCAATAAAAATATAGTACATGCCATGTATTGATCCATACTTGTCCTTGTCCCTAGGTGCCACGATCAACCTGCGACATGTGTCCGTTATTCTTCATTTTGTCCTTATTACAATGTAAGTGATCCTTTCTTCATCTTGCTATTCACAGTGGACCGAGGTAAACAATATCCACTCTTCTGTCAGTTTGGGTAACAGGTTACACTTGAATATAAAAAAAACAAACAAAAACTGAATCTGTCGAAACAGCTGTTGACCGTTAGCCAAAAGTTTACGTCGCCATGAAACACATTTACCACTGTACAAGGATCAGTCATCGGGGGTCTGCTCGCAGAAATGACCGACGGATTGAACTACAGGACTACTGACTATTTTATAATTATAATTTTAACTGGCCAGTCTCATCCATGTTAAACACATCCTTTGCATTATATCCAGCTACAATTTCTGCAGCTTTTTGTCTGTCATCGACAATCAAAGTCCTGCAGCCAGTGTAATTTTGCAGTATAACCAGAGGATATTACTTTTGTTCCGAAAACCATTGGCAAATGGCATTATTTCCTGTTTGGCATTATCACCAGGGTATTAAAAGGGCCATAAATCAGTTCTGGCAAAAATATGGCACTTTATCCAGGGTGGCATTATAACCAGGGTGCACTGTATATAGAAAAATATATATTCCCTTCAATATCAGCATTGATGCAAAGCGTCAAAACCCTTTTTGTAAGGTTTTGACACTTTTTGTAAACACGGAGTCAATTTATTCCCGACTCTATACGTATTAGTGCAAAAGGATAAAACCCCTCATATGTCCCTCTCATATATTGTTGTAAAGGAAAGCAAAAAACCCACAAAAAGCAAAAATGAGCACACGCACGCACGCACGCACGCACACAAACACTACCACCACCCAAAATGAAAATTCCAACAGAAAACAAAAGAACAAAGAAGACAATCTCATAAGCAAACGCATGTCTTGTTAAACACAACCAACTGTATGTTTCCTTGGGCGGTGGGGTAGCCTTGTGGTTAAAGCGTTGGTTCGTCACGCCGAAGACCCGGGTTCGAATCCCCACATGGGTACAATGTGTGAAGCCCATTTCTGGTGTCCCCCGCCGTGATGTTGCTGGAATATTGCTGGAATATTGCTAAAAGCGGCGTAAAACCAAACTCAGTCAGTCGGTCAGTATGTTTCCACACAAACGGAATTGCGGAATACTGTTATGATCGTCTTTGTTTTACAGGCTTGTATCTTCTGCACGGACTGAACCATTCAGCCTGCTACAACTCCGAGTTCATCATTGACTCCCCACTGTGTGAAAGTACTGGGTATCTTGCCCCGAAGAAGTTTTTGTTTGGTCAAATCTCCCCCAGTAGTACATGTCGTACAGAACTCAGAGGACAACGAGACTATCATATTGTCCGAAGGTGTTGCAAAGTCCACAATGGAGACACCATACTCAAGGAAGTGTGTATTCCAGGACAGAAGGCGCTGTTGTCAAGTCCCCTGTCTCAGATGGCAAGCTACTGTAGTCGTGGACATCGCTGTGATTCCGGAAAGCGGTTGACCAGCACGGAACTATTTACTGGAGACTATGTTTCCTTGGAATTTGACTGTGTACATGGCGAGTAGCGATTACACTATTTCGTATACAGCGTCTATTTATCTATGCTATGGTACAAACTGAATGTAGAAATGTCAGTTAGTTTCTTTGGAACAATATGCCACCCCTTTGAGTTTCATGTGATTTCACTACGTTGTATCCGTCACACATCAAGCTTATTCGTGAAGATTCAGGTTAGGAATTAACTTCAGCAACTCATACCATTCCGCTGACATGGGACATATGTAATAATTGTAATTAACAGTAAAAACCCCCAACAAATTCTAGACAAAGTACTTCACTGAGTCGATTCCCATCCTGGATGTGTGAGACACCATAGCGCCAAGACGAAAAGACAGCAATGAAAATAACTAAGCCGCAGAGGCTGGAGTTACAAATCACTTATCTTGTGTACACCTCTGACGTGTGTAAATTCAAATTCAAACCTTCCCTCCCCCCCCTACACACCCCTCCCCAAACCCCCAAAACACAACACTGCGAATGCAAAACACGTTTTTAAGGGCAGGTAGGATTAGATTATTTCTGTGTTGTTGCTGGAATATAGCTGTTATGTCACATTGATCTGAAGATGATATTTTTCACTATTATCCTCTTCCTCGAGTTTTTATTTATTCTGTTCTTTTTTTTAAGCAAAAGATGAAATCCATGTAAATTCCGATGAGGTGCTTTATGGGAAGAATGTTTATTTGATAAGCGACAAGAAGGATGGAAGTGTACGCAATGCTAATTGTGCTGCCTACAGTAACAACCCGCAGTCTTCCATCGTCATCGCTCTTGTCGACAACCGTGTCCTCTCGGGAACTTGTACACTTTCATTCGGAAGTTCAATGTCTGGGACTTCAACCATAAATTGTGCCAAAACTGAGATTGTGAATGGTTGTAATAACGTTCTGTATACCACCAGCAGCAGCAGGGTAGATATAAATCTAACGATGAACGTTCTTGCTAACAACAGTGATCGTCAGTTTCTGTGGATGATGGCTTCAGGTACGCACTATTAACTCTGGATTATAATATATTACCAAATGAATAGTTTTTCGGTCACGTGTCAAACAAGTTTCAGTATTTATATTCACAACTTTAACTAGTAAATGTTACACTTACGACATGACTACGAAAGAATTACAAATGAATCTAGGTTTTTCCTCAACTTCAATTTTAAAAGTAAGACCGAAGCATGATACAGTATATATGTCTTTGTAGTTTCTGATGGCAGTAAGCTGACTGTTGCCTGTGGGAAGACGATACCACCAGATGGAGCTTCTTCTACACAGTCGACTAAAAGCCGCCTGTCGATTCATACGAGTTCACACAATTACATGACCAGTTCTTACTCAAAAGCAACATCACATTATCCCAGGGCTACCAGGACAACAGACATATGGACATCGTCGACAGGGTCGATGACCACAACAGCAACTGGGTTATTTGGGTCAGTTTCAAGCAAAGGGTATGAAGAAAGCACGCTAATGCATTTGAACTCTGATTCATCTTCTGGATTACAATTCACCACGTCTTCCTCGTTATTACTCACAACATTAAGGTCGACTACTGGTTGCAGGCACAACAGTCCCATTGCCGCCCACGAAAAGATCGTCTTCACTTCCACAAACGTATCCATCTTCACCGTCTATGACAGGAACACTATCGCCGCCACTGACACACTCGACCACAGGAGGAATACATTCTGCAGGACATACATCATTCTCGACACGCCCAAGTCAAAGGTTGTCTTCGTCCTTGTTTGAAGCATCATTATCTTCAAGCGTCACACCATTTCATCTCATGAAGACAACAAAACAAACTTCACATCCAGTGACGGTGTCATCCTCACGACAGTCTGCAAGGAGTTCACCTTCATCATCAACATCAAGGGTTCAGACAGTTCCGCCTTCAAACGTGCCATCACCCCAAACAAACAGAACATCTTCACATCAAGCATCAGGATCAATGCTGGCAACCTCCAATACTACGTCTTCTGAATCACACACTACAACTGGGACAACTTACAACAGTCGGACTTCAAGGTCAACCACAGTGCCTATCACCTCTACAGCTACTTGGCTTACGACTTCAAAATCAACGCACGGTTCAAGACGAAGCACACAAATTCAATTGAGCAAAACCAACTCCATGTCTGATTCACCTTCTGCATTAAAATACACCACGTCTTCCTCACCATTACTCACAACGTTAGGTCGAATACTGGTTGCAAGTACAACAGCTTCTTTGCCATCCACGAAAAGGTCATCTTCACTTCCACAAATGTATCCGTCTTCCCCTTCTATGACAGGAACATTATCGCCGCCACGCACACACTCGACCACAGGAGGGATACATTCTGGAAGACACACGTCATACTCGACACGTCCACCTCAAAGGTTGTCGTCGTCCGTGTTGGAGACATCATCGTCTTCAAGTGTCACACCATCTCTTTTCATGAAGACAACAAAATCAAATTCACATCCAGTGATGGTGTCAGTCGCGGAAAGTCCTGTACCTACACCTACATCAACGAGCGGAGGACCGAAGTCTTCAGACTTCATGTCATTCTCATCACATCCTGCAAGAAGTTCACCTTCATCATCAACATCAAGGGTTCAGACAGTTCCGCCTTCAAACGTGCCATCGCCCCAAACAAACAGAACATCTTCATATACATCATCAGGACCAATGCTGGCAACTTCCAATACTATATCTTCTGAATCACATACTACAACTGGGACAACTTACAGCAGTTGGATTTCAAGGACAACCACAGTGCCTATCACCTCTATAGCTACTTGGCTTACGACTTCAAAATCAACGCACGGTTCACGTCGAAGCACACAAGTTCAATTGAGCAAAACCAACTCCATGTCTGATTCATCTTCTGGATTACAATTCACCACGTCTTCCTCACCATTACTCACAACGCTAGGTCGGATGCAGACAAGTACAGAAACTTCCTTGCCATCGACAAAAAGGTCATCTTCACTTCCACAAACGTATCAGCCATCACCTTCTATGACAGGAACATTATCGCCGCCACTGACACACTCGACCACAGGAGGAATACATTCTGCAGGACACACGTCATACTTGGCACGCTCAAGTCAAAGGTTGTCTTCGTCCTTGTTTGAAGCATCATCATCTTCAAGCGTCACACCATTTCATCTCATGAAGACAACAAAATCAACTTCACATCCAGTGACGGTGTCATTCTCGCAAGGTACTGTACCTACACCTTCATCACCTACATCAACAAGCGGAGGACCGAAGTCTTCAGCCTTCATGTCATTCTCACCACAGTCTACAAGAAATTCACCTTCATCATCAACATCAATGGTGCGGAGTGTTCCACCTTCAAACGTGCCATCGCCCCAAACAAACAGAACATCTTCATATAAATCATCAGGACCAATGCTGGCAACTTCCAATACTATATCTTCTGAATCACATACTACAACTGGGACAACTTACAGCAGTCGGATTTCAAGGACAACCACAGTGCCTATCACCTCTACAGCTACTTCGCTAACGACTTCAAAATCAACGCACGGTTCACGTCGAAGCACACAAGTTCAATTGAGCAAAACCAACTCCATGTCTGATTCATCTTCTGGATTACAATTCACCACGTCTTCCTCACCATTACTCACAACGCTAGGTCGAATACTGGTTGCAAGTACAACAGTCTTCTTTGCCATCCACGAAAGGTCATCTTCACTTCCACAAACGTATCAGCTTCATCCCTTCTATGACAGGAACATTATCGCCGCCACTGACACACTCGACCACAGGAGGAATACATTCTACAGGACACACATCATACTCGACACGCCCAAGTCAAAGGTTGTCTTCGTCCTTGTTTGAAGCATCATCATCTTCAAGCGTCACACCATTTCATCTCATGAAGACAACAAAACAAACTTCACATCCAGTGACGGTGTCATTCTCGCAAGGTACTGTACCTACACCTTCATCACCTACATCAACAAGCGGAGGACCGAAGTCTTCAGCCTTCATGTCATTCTCACCACAGTCTACAAGAAGTTCACCTTCATCATCAACATCAATGAAGCAGACAGTTCCGCCTTCAAACGTAACTTCGTTCCGTACAAACAGAATCAAGGACAACCACAGTGCCTATCACCTCTACAGCTACTTGGCTAACGACTTCAAAATCAACGCACGGTTCACGTCGAAGCACTCAAGTTCAATTGAGCAAAACCAACTCCATGTCTGATTCATCTTCTGGATTACAATTCACCACGTCTTCCTCACCATTACTCACAACGCTAGGTCGGATGCAGACAAGTACAGAAACTTCTTTGCCATCCACGAAAAGGTCATCTTCACTTCCACAAACGTATCAGCCATCACCTTCTATGACAGGAACGTTATCGCCGCCACTGACACACTCGACCACAGGAGGAATACATTCTGCAAGACACACGTCATACTCGGCACGCCCAAGTCAAAGGTTGTCTTCGTCCTTGTTTGAAGCATCATCATCTTCAAGCGTCACACCATTTCATCTCATGAAGACAACAAAATCAACTTCACATCCAGTGACAGTGTCATTCTCGCAAGGTACTGTACCTACACCTTCATCACCTACATCAACGAGCCGAGGACCGAAGTCTTCAGCCTTCATGTCATTCTCACCACAGTCTACAAGAAGTTCACCTTCATCATCAACATCAAGGGTTCAGACAGTTCCGCCTTCAAACGTGCCATCGCCCCGAACAAACAGAACATCTTCAAATAAATCATCAGGACCAATGCTGGCAACTTCCAATACTACATCTTCTGAATCACATACTACAACTGGGACAACTTACAGCAGTCGGATTTCAAGGATAACCACAGTGCCTATCACCTCTACAGCTACTTGGCTAACGACTTCAAAATCAACGCACGGTTCACGTCGAAGCACTCAAGTTCAATTGAGCAAAACCAACTACATGTCTGATTCATCTTCTGGATTACAATTCACCACGTCTTCCTCACCATTACTCACAACGCTAGGTCGGATGCAGACAAGTACAGAAACTTCTTTGCCATCCACGAAAAGGTCATCTTCACTTCCACAAACGTATCAGCCATCACCTTCTATGACAGGAACGTTATCGCCGCCACTGACACACTCGACCACAGGAGGAATACATTCTGCAAGACACACGTCATACTCGGCACGCCCAAGTCAAAGGTTGTCTTCGTCCTTGTTTGAAGCATCATCATCTTCAAGCGTCACACCATTTCATCTCATGAAGACAACAAAATCAACTTCACATCCAGTGACAGTGTCATTCTCGCAAGGTACTGTACCTACACCTTCATCACCTACATCAACGAGCCGAGGACCGAAGTCTTCAGCCTTCATGTCATTCTCACCACAGTCTACAAGAAGTTCACCTTCATCATCAACATCAAGGGTTCAAACAGTTCCGCCTTCAAACGTGCCATCGCCCCGAACAAACAGAACATCTTCATATAAATCATCAGGACCAATGCTGGCAACTTCCAATACTACATCTTCTGAATCACATACTACAACTGGGACAACTTACAGCAGTCGGATTTCAAGGATAACCACAGTGCCTATCACCTCTACAGCTACTTGGCTAACGACTTCAAAATCAACGCACGGTTCACGTCGAAGCACACAAGTTCACTTGAGCAAAACCAACTCCATGTCTGATTCATCTTCTGGATTAAAATACACCATGTCTTCCTCACCATTACTCACAACGTTAGGTCGAATACTGGTTGCAAGTACAACAGCTTCTTTGCCATCCACGAAAAGGTCATCTTCACTTCCACAAATGTATCCGTCTTCCCCTTCTATGACAGGAACATTATCGCCGCCACGCACACACTGGACCACAGGTGGGATACATTCTGCAAGACACACATCATACTCGACACGTCCACCTCAAAGGTCGTCTTCGTCCTTGTTTGAAGCATCATCATCTTCAAGCGTCACACCATTTCATCTCATGAAGACAACAAAACAAACTTCACATCCAGTGACAGTGTCACCCTCGCAAGGTACTGTACCTACACCTTCATCACCTACATCAACGAGCGGAGGACCGAAGTCTTCAGCCTTCCTGTCATTATCACCACAGTCTACAAGAAGTTCACCTTCATCATTAACATCAATGAAGAGGACAGTTCCACCTTCAAACGTAACATCGTTCCGTACAAACAGAAGCGGTGTAACCACACTTAGTATCACTCCATCTGCTGCTGAACAGTCTACCGGAACACCTGGAACACCAGTGAACAAGTTTTCAATGTACTTTCCCACAGTTTCCAGACAAGCACCTGTTGAAGAATCAACATTTAACACAGGTAGCAAAATTAGGATAAAACTCAACGGATTTGACTAAGATTGTGTATCAAATGCTGCTCTTATGTAACACTTTATAGAAAATGTAATACAAGAATATGACATTGGACGATTTTAACCTTTGTGGGAAAACCACTCGTGTATTATTAATATTTACCATGGTTATATGGTTCTGAGATAATAGATTCTTATCGACTTACTTAAAACGTGCCATTAATCAACACATGTTTTATCAGTGCCATTATTATGTGTTTACCTGGAAAGCTTTGTCCATTTATTATAATAAATGTCGTCCTAACCCTACCATAAAGATCATGCGCAAAACACATAACAGAAATAGGAACAAAGATAGTAAATATCTTTTTATTTCCTTCCAGGTAAATCAGGCAACGACGATGACAAGATTGCGTTTAGTAAGTACCCTTGCCAAAGTAGGATTGGATGTTTACGTTGCATGTGTTGACGTGTTCAGTGCATGGGAGCTGTATGTCAATTCCCTCTGTTTCAGTACTCGAGGTGATCACAAGTCTGACGGGAGCAACGCTTCTCATACTGATGGTGATCACAACAGCTATGTGTTTGTGTTTCAAGAAGAGGTACTGTATATGTGTATATAGGTCTTGTAAAAGAGTGTATGTAGCTCATAGTCAGATCGCCGATCCCCATTTTGATTGAGACTGCAATATCAATTTACAAAATGTGTGTAGGTCCATTTCATTTTACCTGGGTAAATTCAGTTTCAACAGCATTCAGAATGACTATGTATGTATGGTAACTTCACTAACGTTTGAATATATTCACCTTTGCTATTCATATTGGTACCTCCACGTATGGTAATCAGAAAATGCCTTTTTAAAAGTGGTCAAATGTAACATGATATGTTTGGGATTACACCTCCTCAGTAAAGTACGGATTCTAGTACTTTTTGGGGTCGAGTCCCGTCCGATAATCGAATCCCAGAGTGAGGCACCTAATCGCCAACACGCAAAATCAGTGACGTAATCATGCTGAAATCATATCTAGTACGCATATATAATAGTTTTATATATATATTAAAAACCCATGTAACTTTCAGTATTAATTGATTTGGTTTATGTACGTTTACACTTCAAATATGAGCGGCCGATGTGACTATACATTTTAACTCACTCAAATATGAGCATTAATTACGAGGGTTCACTAATTTGGGGTCAATATCAACGTCTTGTGTTGTTGCAGGATGAACGAGTTGAAACGGAATTCTCGTCATCGGAATAAACTGTCAGAGACCATGGCTTCAAATCTGGAATTAAAGAGACGCTCCGTTGTATCTTTAGAATCTGGATATTGTTCCAATTCAATATCATCTTGATATGGCTAATTCAGCACAGTGCATATGACAGTTTTCTTGCTTCCCGCATGTACAAACAGCTTTTACGGTGTGGACGATGTATGCTGAATGAATGCGAAACAGAAATACACGCAGTCTTTGTGGACATGGTTGCCTTAAGAGTGAGAAAACGTGAAGATATCACCCGATTAATATCATTAAACAGTGTACTGATAACACATATTTTGACACCAGGTGTAATTTTTCACAACAGTTGGTCATTGGAACAGTGGCGCCAGCAGCGTCTGCCATCTGTAGTTGGCAGTGTCTACTCAACACATAACCGGGTAGGCACAACTAATATTTGCAAACCAACAGACATGCATAGACAATACCCAGTTGTCGCAGCTGCCTGTCATAAGACTCACTGACATTTGCATCGTCGTAGTGCAAGCAGCGTTACATATACAACACAACATGCCCAAAGATCATCACAATATTCCTTGACGTGTCTACTTACGACTATGAACTGTTTTGTATATGGGAGTAGCGGCCCTTGGACCAAGAGGACTGGGATTGGAAACGTCAGCCCCGTGTCTGCTGATACACATGCGTCAGACAGAATTCAATGCAAATTCATCCTGTTTGTTTTCAAATGTCTCAGTAACGTAGCTCCAAAATATCTGTCTGATCTGATCACCAGATATAATCCCGACCGAAGTCTCTGGTCTGAAAATCTTGGTCTTCCTGTTGTCCCACACTTTAAGCCCAGCACCAGGTTTGGGGATCGATCTGTTCAGGTGACCGGACCCACTCACTGGAATCAACTTGGAATTAAGGACCGTTAACAACCTGAGGATTTTCAAATCTAAATTGAAAACATACCTTTTTAAGAAAGCATACAGAACTTTTCACTCTCGAGTTGTTCGGAGAGTGCTACTGAGCAGTACTTTTGGACTGGGACTGGCAATGATGATGTAACCTGAGAGAACAATAAACACTTATTGTATTTATACACCTCTCTTATATCAACCTCGTCTATTTTCAAATATATTTTGAATTTAGACGATGTTGTAAGTAAATAAATGAGGACTGAATACTTTGCTACACTAGTCCTACTTAAACTTTCGAAACACTTTTGAAAGCTTCAAAGGCGTGGGTAACACGCTTTCGTTCGTCGGTTCCATTTTGAAATACGCGCAATGTAATAAACTTGGCAATTCACGGGAACTCGTTCAGTAAGACAGACAAACAAACACACATACACAAGCGTATATAAATGCAGGTTTGATGGATCTGTTTTTACAGATCTGCATATTGATGACGATGTACAGTGCACATGGAATTGTAAAATTTAACATACATAACAAGATATGTGTATGTACATACTCTGATCACGGTGTATATGGAAGATAGACTTGAAGCATCCCATGTGCATTTTTGTCATGGGCAATATTATGAGCCTCCTCTTGAGCTGAAGTTGGTCCTATTTATCCGCATTGTCATTGTTTTGTAATGTTATACAGTCGACAACCGTTGTGAGGAACATGAAAGTAGTCGAGTTCTCCATAACCGAAAATATTATGCTTTAAGAAGGTATACACATTATAAGATGTTCACTGGTCTCGAGGGGGACATGGGTTGATGTACCCTCGATGTTTGTTTATGTTCCCTTCGGAACAAAATCAAAGATTTTGTACATCATGTAAATCTAAAGGTCTTACCTATATTGAAGATGAATTTCATGTACTATTCATTTGTGAATCCTATTCACAACTAAGAGAGAGGTTTATGACAAAATGTGTTAAAAAGCCTTATACTGTATAATCTTTAGTAAGTCTTTTCAAGAATACTAATGTAGACACTGTAAAATATGTTGCCTTGTATCTATTTTATGTTAAAAGGATTATTACAAACACACTTGAATGATCATTGTGCCCCTGACTACACTGGCATTTCCTTTTGAATGTATTTTGGGCCTACGGCCTTTTACTGGAAATAAACTCTGTCTGTCTCCGTCTGTCTGTAAATAAATGAAATATATGTGTATTCGTTTTTCATCATTCTGTTTTCTGTCTCTATTTCCCTTCGAGTCCACCGTTTCAAAAGCAGTGTCTGTCTCTGATATTACTAATCTGCATATTGTCGTAACTGCGTTCGGGCGTCAGTAGACCCTACAACTGTTATCTAATAGTGTTGCCGTTCCATGTTGTCATCTTGATTGTAAGCTGGGTCTCTATACTCGTGTGGTCTGTCGAGTGGTCTAAGTCGAGGCGTGAGTCCACATCACATGCATGCATTGGCGAACAGCACATTCATACAGTGATTAACGCAACACCTGGGCCCCGTTTCACAAAATGATCGTAGTGCTACGACTGCCGTAAGTCTATGTTAAAGTATGGAAGTTACGATCACCTTAGCGCTACGATCGCTTTGTGAAACGGGGCCCAAGTTCTTACTCAGTCCCTCTCTTCATTTCAAGGACATGACAGGGCAGGCCTTTTTACCAATGGTGGAACTGCAACGATCGCCATGTGAATGTTAAGCTGACTTTGAAACCCACAACTCTTTGCTAGTGCCGGCGGCGTCCTTTTAAGGTGTTCGAGCCTGCTCCGTCCTGGTCACATGTCCCGATACAATATTTCTGATTCGTTCAAAGTTACAACATTCCATGGTCTCATGTTTTACCTCGTGACCGGATCATTACTGAAAACTGCTCATCGTTTATTCACTGTTAGCTGATATGCTGCTACTCCCGGTTGTCATGTTCTATATCTCTTGATTTATTACCAAGCATCACGAAATAACCGCAATTCGCAATATTGGGTTTGTGATATTTTTATTATTTAGAATATACCTCGATTCCTCTCTCAACATGGACAGACAGTTCAGCGAAATCGTCAAGACATTTTCCACATCAGATCTATCGGAAGTATTCGCCACATGATTACAGTCAGCAGCTGCGTCACTTGTCCTGTCATTGATCTAGTCACGACTCGACTCCTGCCACAACATCCTCATTGGAATATCAAGCGCTCGTAGGAGATTCATAATACAGCTGCCTGAATTGTAGTTCGACTCCCACATCATCATCAACACTCAGACAGCTCCACTGGCCACCTGGCAAACAGCGGATTGAGTTTACAGTGCCAGTATTGACCCACCTTTCTTGTCACAAGCCAAACCACTTTGCATGTGAAGTATATCCCCCTCCCTCATCTGGAGAGACAGTGTACCTGATCAGTGAGGTTACAGATGGGACTGCAACAGGGGATACTTGTGTCACCTATGCTGCAGACTGTGGTGCTGGGGTTGACGTGCTTGTCGTTGTCAGTGTTAATTAAACCTCTACCCGTCAAGATCCGGGTTAGAATTCGGCAGCCCATGCTTGTAGTAAGAGGCACTTAACGGAATCGGGTGTTCAAGCTCTCTGACTTGGTTGTCACTCGTCATCGCATCCCAAGTACGTAGATCGTTGCCCATGCTGTTGATCACTGTATTATCTGGTCCAGACTCGGTTATTTATAGACTGCCACAGTGTAGCTGCAATGTTGCTGAGTGCGGCGTTAAACATCCAACAAACAAACACAATCATGATCAGTTGGTACGACGGGGTTGCCTTTAGGGATGAACATTCACCTGAAGAGCTGGTGCAAACACTTTGTTAAAACATACTAAACATAATGGAGACCAGTACGTCTACATCCCTCTAACAGGATTTGCTACCAGATACGATAGAGAAGGAGTCCTTCTGGATGAAATGGAATATATATATCACTCAGAGTTTGGTGTGGTGTGGCTTGTTTCGCTTTCAACAAAGTGTCGAAATACCTTTATAAATGTTTTCTAAACTACCGAGTTTACACCCTAGATTTCCCATATCATATCTACAGTTGCATGTCAGTCCTAGGTTAACTCACTGTTGTCTCAACCTGGGGCAAATGTGCATGTGATCTAATCTTATCAATTGCGATGTACTCTTCCTATTGCTTACTCTAACCCATTGTTAATGTCCAGCATATAATACAATACGTAAAAATATAATTCATTAAAGCATTTTAATTTGTCCATCCATCAATTGATCAGTTTTCTTCTCTATTGAATTGTTGAAATGTTTATATTCATCAAGCCATGATGATAAGAAAATTGTTCATATGCAATGTACTATAGCCTATGGCCTCCTCAGTACTGAAGAAAGATTGATTGATATACAGAGAGATGGTGGTTGAAGTTTTGTCTTTAGCGTAAAACATACAGCCAAGTTTTTACAAATGTGAAACAAATACTTATACGGTATCTGTGCATTGAAACCGTCCCACTGGAATACCAAAGGAGTGTGCGAATGGGTCTTGTTTATTGCCGCTTTTATCAATACTCAAGCTATGTTATGGCGTGTCATCTTAATGTGGGAGGGACGCCTAAAGTGATGGAGGTCTCAGACTTTTACCACTTTGGTGAAATCCAGGAGCTGACAACCCTGGAGGGAACCCAGATTCGAAACCCAGTTCAGATTGTTTTTATCCCAAAGGTACGCAACTCTGCACAACGAATTGTAGCGCATGAGACAACTGTACAACCCACACGCTATGTAAAATATGATCACTGAACATATATTGAGGGAAACAAGTAAGGGAACACCACTTCATGGCATTATTCCTTTATTTATTATCAGATTTCCTCCCACAGCGCTATTAAAAACAGGTGATGAAGCCTGGAAACTATTATATTTTTATTTTCATGTGTTCCTTTATTTGTTTCTCTCAGTATATGCTGACCACTTAGTATACAGTATACATGTATACAGTATGATCCAATGACGCGTTAAATATTTGGTACATTACACACCGACATGAATTTGACGCCAGCATGTTGTATTTTAGACTTGGTAGAAATGACAAGCTCACGTGTTATCCTTTTGTGACGAGTTGACCTCTTAGATAACATATCAGACTGCATAAGATTACACATGACTGTTTGTGATATATATAACGCTATTGTGACGTAAAAGATAGGGAGGTTGTGTTCCAAAGGTTGTTTGGTTAAAATGACTGTTAGAATGTGTTTCAGCTGTGTGCAGTACTGTGCCAACGACATCGATCTGTAGTCGATACCGAGGATGTATATCAAGATGAAGATAACTGTACTGTTTGTCACATTAATGTGGGTACAATTTGCTTCTTCAGTATCTCAAGGTAAGCCGTGTCTTTCTCGGAGTACTTAAGTTACGATAATTGAACATGTACACTTTGTTAAGCTGAGTGTTTACGGTGTAATCATGTCAGTACATGCAAACATCCTCCATTGTCGGCTTTAGAGACATCACATTGCGAATTACACTGAATACCATATTCTTCTGAACCCATATTGTCTGCGTCATGTCATTCTATGACACGACAACCAACTTAATATCTGCAGTATTTTGCATTTTCCAAAATGGCGGATGTTTCCTCCATGAAACTCAAAATGTTACCAGACCCGTGAAGATCCGAGTTAGAACTGGTCTTCAGCAACCCGTGCTTGTTGTAAGAGGCGACTGACGGGATCGGGTGGTCAGGGTGGCTGACTTGCTTGACACATGTCATCGTATCCCAACTGAGTAGATGCTCATGCTGTTGATCACTGGTTTGTGTGGTCCAGAGTCAGTTATTTACAGACCGCCGCCATATAGCTGGAATATTGCTGAGTGTGGCTTTAAACAAGAAACAAACCAACCAACAAAACGGTAATCTTACAGTTAACGTATATCTGTATGTTGTCAGTTGACGCTTAACTGAAGTAAGTGTTGAGATTACTAATATTATTTCTTAAATTTTTAGACCTGAACTCGCCATGTCTGAATGTCTCAAGATAATATACAGACACACTGGCATTATGGATGTGATGGTGTATATTTCAGAATCATATTGTAGCATTGGTATTACCGCCAACCAAGCTGTGTCTGAGCTTGTCTTTACGCAGTTAACCAACTTGTGTCAGTAATGAGATATTGATATAGTAAAGTATGGACTTCTAGAAGGAGCATATTGTCCTGTTGTCACGTAGTCGCATTGTCGTACTTTGGTTAATTCTGCTACTTTTGGGGTCTTTTTTTATTTTAAGGACGACGTGTCTCTTCTAAGATTACATGGTTTAGAGGTTAAACCACAATGGCAAGAATATGAGAGACTGACATTATACTCAGTGATATTTAATAACAAGATTATACATTATGATTTTTATTACAACAGCCAAAATGATTAAAAGTTTTTCTAATATCAAATATGTTGACCTCATGTTGTCAACAGCAGGCTTGTACATGCTTGTATCTGAGTCATCAACCACATTGTGGTTCAGTATATCCTTCAACGATGTATATACGATATGAATATGGGGGGTTCAGTATATCCTTTAACGATGTATATACGATATGAATGGTACCTAGGACATTTGAACATTTGTTTCAGACCTGAAGGTTGTGTACACGAATGGGTCAGCTATTCCATTCCACAACAAAACCCTATGTTATCAAGAATGGTATGACGTGCAATGCGACAAGGATTGGTTTGCACCAATAAGAAACATATTTGCGCTCAAAGACCCGGCGTTTTCATCAGATAACAATTGCACTGGCCAGAACACATACCCAAAACAATGTTGTAATGTGGATCCAACTGACTGCAACTTTACAAGCATTAAGGACTTTGACCAGATTAGAAATGTGTGTTCGGGGAAGACATATTGCAAGGGCAGAGAGCGCCGTGGCACCCTGTGTATGAAAATAAACCCAACATGCGCTGCCCATATCAACAAGGGTTGACATCTGTGTTGACAACCCAATACGTCACAACGGAATACATGTGTGCACCATGTAAGTATCAACGTATGAGAAATAATGTAATCCACCTTGGCCACTAACATGATTATGAATCTGCATAAGATCATACGCTTTAAATGGATGCATATCTTAAGCCTTATTGTCAAGTCAATAAATGTTCACACATTCAACCTTGTTTTCCGTTGCAGCCACCTATTTTTGAGCTCAAGATACTTCAAACACTACTCCTTCCTTACGAATTGACGTGACAAATGTTCATAAGGATTGATCATTTAAAATAATAATGATGAATCAGCAAAGAGGCGAATAGTTTGTTCTCAGTTCAAATGGGTATTTTAAAGATCTGATTCCGAAAATTGCAATACATTTCAGACCTTGATACAGACGCATTACACATGGACTTGCAGTAAATTATATATCAGATTATATTATGTGCATTCTTTACAAGTTGTTATAGTCTTTACAATGAATAAGCGAACGAACGCCGCAACGAGTAGGAGGGTCGTCGAGGTGAGCGTCGAAGCTTGGGCGCGAGCCTGAGTGGAGCCGCCTTGGGTGCAGATCTTGGTGGTAGTAGCAAATATTTAACTATTCCAGCTGTATGGCATTATATATTATACTTAATGTTAAGAGACAGCTCAAATGATTCATCACACAGATTTTACCACTTTAGTAGGGATCAGTCATACCGACGAAGCAAGGCATTTACTAGGAACAAATCTGTGATTCGTATCTGTATGTCCACGACCATGTGCTTATGGTACTCCAAGGCAACATAACCAGTCAAAATATACCAAATCATAAATGTTAACTATAGATATATACGTAATCTCTTTCGTGGTGATTCCATACAGTGGTGCAAGATAGGGACACTTCGTGGTTTAATGGTGACCTTTGTGGAACGTTTGATGATCGTTATACTGCATTACTCAGAATGGCAGCTTCTTTCGAAAAACAACCGATACGTAGCTTGTTTTCTTTGCAGATCGATCAATTCAGCCCATGTGTGAAAGGGGACAAAGATGGGGAAAGGACTGTTTCTGTCGTCAAAAGATTATCCCGACTACCATCCTCAACAAACAGGCTTCAACTGTTCTTGCCAGGTTGTGTTTGGGACCAATACAACACTGAAGGTTGCAGCGATTGATCTACGACTTTGTTCTTCCAGTAGCCGATGTGGGCGTATTCTCAACATAGGTGATGCCCCGCCAATCAGTGTCACCAACACAGTGGAGGAGAAGGATCCCTCCTTACCCGATTCAATCTATGGCATTGTTGGAATGAAGGAAATCTACTCGGTCGCATCAACAACTGGTCACGTGACGGTGGAACTGACGGATGTGGATTCCAAGGAAGACGTATATTTATGGATGTATCTGTATGCAGAAGGTAACGAGAGAGAGAGAGAGAGAGAGAGAGAGAGAGAGAGAGAGAGAGAGAGAGAGAGAGAGAGAGAGAGAGAGAGAGAGAGAGAGAGAGAGAGAGAGAGATGTATCTGTATGCAGAAGGTAACGAGAGAGAGAGAGAGAGAGAGAGAGAGAGAGAGAGAGAGAGAGAGAGAGAGAGAGAGAGAGAGAGAGAGAGAGAGAGAGAGAGAGAGAGAGAGATTAGCTGGAATATTGCTGAGGGCAGCTTTCAGCCCGGCATTTTCTAGAGAGAGAGAGAGACATATGATGGGTTGTTGAAAGTAGTTTCAATGTTTCAGGTTCCGATATGACCGTAACATGTGATGATGTGACTACGTTCACTACAACCACCACAACCACCACGACAACAACTACAACTGCACCAACCACATCAACCACACCGACTACACCCCAAGATCCACAACGCCCACAACAACGTCCAAACTTGACGACTCCTGTAACCACGACACCAACTACAACAACTGCGGCTACTACAACTACTAAACACCAAACACCAACTCCAGGTAAGATGCGGCTGAAGTGAGGGGGACCAGACCAATGTCTGACCCGCCACTGATAGAAGTGTCCTGCTCTGTCGCTGGAGGTGGATCTTGATATTTTGTCGTTAATGTCACCAAACCAAACTATACTTCTTTAGCATGATGAATTCTGTAACAACACACCTTTGACACCCAATCCTATTGTTAGAACCTGAGGTTAATTATTTTTAAATGCCTTTATTGCTTGCAAGAGCTATTTTTCAAAACAATCTTAGGGTGGTCGTTATGCCCAGTACATATTCCGGCTGACTGAAACTGGATGTAAATGATTTGTGTACTGGACGTCCCAGTTGTTTAAAACATATTTCAGCTGTTACTAATGGTTGACTGCAAGGGGAGTAGTCATGCTACATTACATACTCTGTAACATATATGGTAATTGTTTTCTGGAATGTGTTGGGTGGTTATGAAACGCCAACGAACAAAGAGTGTTTTGTTCATACGGATATGTGATATATTTCAGGCGCTCCAAATAAAGCCGAGAACAATATCGGCTGGAACTATGCGCCAGTGTGTAACTGTGAACGTGTATCAGCTCTATCAAGGAAGCTTTATTGTAAGTATTCTACTAATACCCACGTGTCTATATGTATTTGATTGTATCGCCTTTATGGGGCATGTTTACAGCTGCTTCCGGTACAAATAGCCTGCTTACATAGGGTGTTAAACCTACACCCAAACGTCGCTCTAATTGCAATAAAGAAGTTGTTTATCCATATATTGTTATCCTCCCTTAATGGAAATGCATGTTCAAACTCATTGTTATAAGCGTCAACAACATGTTTCAGATATCGAGCTGGCATCATCCGCGCTCGGAGGTATTGTCTTCACTGCAATATGCTGGTGCATGTATTCTATGTGGCACAAGTAAGTGGCAAATAAGTACAGAATGTACCTGTAAACAGTTGTATTGATGATTCTAACAATGTCACATATTTCAAGAGTAGCAGTTATTTCACGAGCATGTCGTTACGTCTTGTAGATTCATTCATATGTATTGCGTTGTATTATATACAAAACAACCAAAAACAAATTGCCTAATACATGAAATATCTAAGCGCATCAGAGAAACTCTACCAGTTCATTCACCTGTTATAAATAACAAAAGTATTTTTATACAGACGTCATTAGACCAGATTGACAAAGGTAATCAGTGAGACACCAGTGGTCTAAGTACGTAAAGACCATATATCATGGATCTTTAGTTGACATATGTGTCATTTGTTTAGTTGACATAATTATGTTGCAGGCATAAAAAGGCCAAAAAGGCCAAAGCCCTGAGAAGGAGGAAAGTCTCTGACCAGTTTCCCATGGACGGAGGCAGAAAGAACTACTTCAACAACGACACACGGAGTGTCTACAGCATCGAGCCATGTGACTCAGCTTCTCAGGTAGGGGTTGCAAAGCCACGCTATGTGAACTATCTCAACAGAAACCAGCAAGCAGCCCGACAAGCCCAGAAAGCAAACCAGAGAGGAGCTAACCAAGGTGCCCCACGGAAAGTATCTATTACGCATGATGTCCCTAATGAATACGATGTGATAGATGAGGGTCGCACGAAGACAAATGACGAGGAAGTGCAGTCGAAGGATGATATCATCAACAAGCTGGCTGATAAGTTCAGTGCATATCCTGACTTAGAGAAGGTAGTACGGCAGCAAGCTAAAGAACGTGTCAATTGCCATTATGAGACTGATATTAATGATGATACTGACATCAAGATTATCCTCGGCGGCTTTGGGTTGGAAATACTAAAACAAACCTTGTCAGACATGGAATCACAAGATCAAAGTTGTCCGTCTTAAGTGCTAGCTATTGGTTCATGTAGAACACAACTAGTCATGTACGTGGTACAAACGATCCCTAATCTGCCTTCACTACTTTTGTACCTTCTTTGTAATGCATTACCTTCACTTAATCGTACTTGGCCCACATGTGTCTTAATCGTTACAGAGTAAATAGGCCTATTCAAGATCGCGCAGTATGTGGTAACTGATTGCTGATTATGAGATGCTGAATGCTTAGAAATAATGTCGTTTATATTACATAATAGTTATGTGACTAAATTGGGAAGCTCAGGTTTAGCTTATCCTGCCCCGTGCAAGCATGTATGCTACAGAAAGATACAAAGATCATCTCGCTACTTACGATTGATTTTTCTGGATGACCTACGCATGGTCATAATAACACAGGTACTTCAACACTTGTGATTAACTCGAATTAATAAAACACCTTTTAGAAAACACGACATGTGCTACTGATGATTGCTGGTAACACATGTCTAAGGTGTTCGTCAAAGTATACAAGTGGTCCACAAAAAAAGCGGGAAGACAGTTTTCTCCTGTTTGCAACTCGGCGTCATAGCTTCCTGAGTCCCCCACTCACGGGCTGATCTGGGGTATTGTTGATCTGGGGTATTGTTGATCTGGGGTATTGTTGATCAAATATTGTTTGTTGGCTTTGTGTGGCACAGCAATGTTTTGTTCACGGAATATGGTAATTCAACAAATGCACACAACTTGTACGTATTATCTTTTAGTGGTGATCGTTAGCAGTAGCGTATAATAATGGACATGTTTCATCATGTAATGTATATTAGCTGTTGTTTTTTGTGCATATCCATATCGCTGAAGATAACGAGATGACGTTATTATTGTGAGTCATCTGCTGATTTCTTGCGTCACGTGTTCCTGCTATGCATGTACTTTAGAATTGGAAAAAATAAATGATCGAAACTAAGATTTATTCTGATAATGATACTTGGCTTGTCCATAGTCAAAGCCTTTAGCTTAGATGGATGCATTTTTGTATGCACTTTTCTGTATAACGCTTTAGTCTTGCCGTTGACCTCAGTTCTATACGAGACATTTAGAAACTGCCGAAATGCCCAATAAACTAACATAGTTTTTCCTCAGGGAGAGGATGTACGGCTTGGGAGGGGTTAAGAATGTAGGCTGTCCAAATGTGAACGTTTGTCATTCCTGCACACCAAGCTCTGGTGACAATACATAGAGAATACTACACGAGGTCTCATTACATACGAAATATACGAAACGAGTGTCCTTTCTATGGTATCTGACCTTCTAATAACATAGGAAAGTCACGAGTTTCGTATAATTCGCATGTAATGAGACCCAGTGTGGTATTTTATTTATTGCCCACGTCTTACATGCATTAAATTGACAAAACGCGTATTTTTGTAAATATTTTGGTTTCAAACCGAAACCGGTTTCATAAAGAGGTTGCGGAAACGTTTTGTACTGTAGTACAAATTTGCATGACGTCACACTGTAATGACGTCACTGCCTTGGTAACCGACGTCACGATGCATGTCAGTTGTCATCGCCTCGTACAGCCTCCTACAGTAAACTACTCCGTAGCACCCCGTTTCTTGGTTTGCAGCTGCTTCTTTCGGCCAACATCACTGGTGGAAACATTGCGTTTATGTTTTTTCGACGGATATAATGTCTCAGATCGACTCACACATTAAACAGGACACGGCAACGTTCGCGATGTTAACATTCCCACAATGCATTTAAGTTGTAGAATGAATGAATTCACGTGTTTGTTATGAATGAAAAAAATAGTTACGTCAGAATGTGACCTATTTGAGAGGTCATCGGTTATCCAATCAAATCGTTAGAATCTCAGGTCAAGTCGTTACGACACAGGTCAACGCGATACGACACTCGTGTGACGAACGAGATTAGTATGCAACTACCCATACGTTGACCACGTGGGTAATAAAGAATGTTTTCCTATCAGTTGATCAGTACTACAACATTCAAGGCCTCGGTATGGATTTCAAAATATGCCAGACACTTTGAGCACAACATTTGTGATATTTGGGATTCCATTTTCTAAGTAAATTACAGATTCTAGTACTTTTGTTGGGTTGAGTCCCATTCGATATTCGTACCCACACTCTCATAGTCAGCCAGCTAACCCGCTCAGCCACCGCGACTGCCACGTGGAGTACATTTCTATATGAAGCATCAGTGACACAGTTATGTGATACCACTCTCAGTTTGACTTGTGCTATATGTTCTCGTGTTTTTCAGGTGAACATTTGACTTGTGCATGTTTGTGACGGCTCCTACACCCGTGAGAAATGTCACCAAAAAATATATTCTTTTGAAACTGTAATAGGCTTCTCTGCCCAGTGACAGTTGAAGTTGGCTATAATAGGGTTTAGGACCTTGTGTTGTGTACTTTTTTATGTGGGGATGGTAAAGTAGCCAACTTCAAATAGGCTCTATGAATCAGGCCTCATTGCTGGTAAAAACATAACAAAGAGAAACTCAATTATTTATTTACAAAACCCGAAATATCCCAAACTACCACAAAACATTCTAAAATGATATTTTCCCAAGGCTAATGATGACAGCAAGGGCTTCCACAGCTACGTTCAGCGCACCAAGTTTGTTGGACAGCATATGAAAGTTGAGTTAGAGGACGTCAATGGAGTGGTCACAGCACAGGGCCACAATAGGTCTTCTGCCTCGAAGTACTGCTGCTCATAAACGGTTACGAATGGCTTGCGCTCACACTCACACAGCACGTTCACAACAGAGGCACAGAGCACTCACACAACATGCACACAACACACATGCACCAGATGCAGACAACACGCACACACTCACAGAACATGCATACAACATGCACACACAACACGCACCACACCACACACGCAACACAAACCACACACAAGCAACACACGTACCACACTTACTCGCCCCGAGCTCACAACACGCACTCACACAACACGCTCATAACACTCACACAACACGCTCACAGCACACACGCACCACATGCCGACAACACGTGCAAAACACTCACACAACATGCACACACCAGACACACGCGCCCCACGACCCCCACCCCCACCCTTTCGCGTCCCTCGTGGTGCACGCTCACAACACGCACAAAACACTCAGTCAACATGCAAACACACTCAACACAACACGCTCACAACCTTCACACAACGCTCACACAGCCTGTACACTATACTCAACACGCTCACCACCTTCACACAGCATGCTCACACAAAACGCACACAACATTCACACATCACGCACAGAACACTCATTCAACATTTTCACAACACGCTTACACCACACACGCACCACGTGCATACAACACGCACATAACACTCACACTCCGCGCTGACAACACTCACCACACACGCACCACATGTAGATAACACGCACTAAACACTCACGCAACATGCTCACAACACGCTCACACCACACAAGCACCACTCACCACGTGCAGACAACAGGTACACACCCCTTACACAACACGCAAACACTCATACAACACATGCAGAGAACACGCTCACAACGCGCTCACACAACACTAACACAACTCTCAGGCAACAATAACACAACACGCAAACACACACAACACGCTCACGCAACATTCACAGAACACGCTCACAACAATCACTCAACACGGAAACACTCAAACAACAATCACATAAGTCGCAAACGCTGAAACAACACTCAGACAACACGCTCACACATTACTCACACAACACTAACACAATGCCCACGCAACACACGCCATGCTCACACAACACTCACACAAGACAACAGGCCTGGTTCTAATAGGCGACTAATGGGATCGTGGTCAGGCTCGTTGACTTGGCTGACATGCTATCGTATCCCAATACGTAGATCGATGTTCATGCTATTGATCACTGGATTGTTTGGTCCAGACTCGATAATTTACAGACCGCCGCCATATAGCTGGAATACTGCCGAGTGCGACGTTAGACAAGCAAAAAATCAAGGGTTCATATATGTCTGTCTCACAGTACAGTACTCAGTTGTGTAAGTAACACAACCATTTTAGACATATGTTAGAGAGTAATAAGACGAAGAAGTCGTGTAAAGAACCAGTAGGCATATGTAGGACTTGTGGAACCAGTGGAATGAATGATGCAGAAATATTAAATAAACGTTGTGTCTACTCACATTTATTGACGTCGCGACCCCACGTGTAACTGTGGCTGCGGGTGCGGTTGTCATTGGGGTCGCAAATGGAGTGGATGACGTCGATGACGACGCCCGGTTCACGGCATGTGAAGTTGGTGTAGCCTGGGCTGGACACGGTTGTACAAAGCGATCTTAGCGCTAAGGTGACCGTAACTCCCAAACCTTAACATAGACTTAAGATAGGCTTAGCGCTACTTCAGGTTGTTTTTGGGCCAGCTGCATCAGACCTAAAGATCGTAACAAAGGAAACATGGCTGATGATACTAGTAAAGTCAATAGCGAATAAGTATTGCGATCAATAAACGACACACGTGAAAGATCTGTGACAATATCTGTGTGTTACAGTACGCCATTAGGGAGCAACCATTTCAAAGGAAGGGGAGCTTGATTGAGGTTTGAGATCAGCAGTTTCTACATGTTTAGAAGCTTAATTATTTTTTCCAACATAATGAAAAAGGGACTCCTCTATGATTCGATACACACCGCCTGAAAGAAAAAGGGGCACATATATTCCAGTAAAACAGAGACTTTACTATTTCAGAAAATACCAACTCCCCACCGCGAAAATCAAATGGTTGCGTCCATAAACCCGTCCAGCAGCACGTGCGAATCAGCTGAAAGTTCAAGCCTTGCGTCAAATTGCAAGCATCTGAAACAATGAAGTACTGAGACGTCTCAAATCTAAATACCCACCCGACTGTGTTACGCAGCAACGTCCTAGGTGCATATGAGTAGCACGCATTCCCACACAATGGAGATCAATTTCGTTTTTGAAATCAAAGCACACAAACTGTATCACCTATAATCTGAATTCTACTTGATCATGCATGAATCTTTTGAAGATATTCATGTGTTTCAAAATCTACGCACTGATGTTACGAAAGAGTGTTGTGAGATGAGCTTGTCCATTTATGAGTTTCATAACTGGTGGGCATGTGAATATGTATAAGTTTATGTAACTTTCAAAATCTATTCTACCATTGCTACGTGAAATTCTCGAATTTGATTGGTCAATCACAAAAATCAGACGGTATCAATTTTGGATTGACAATGCGTCTGATTTCACGGCGCTTCACTGCGCACGTATACATCACTGCCGCACTACTTCAGCTTGGCCACCAACATGACTAATATCAACACAACAGACGTGATGGAAATGCTGATAAAACATTTATATAAACTCGAAAAATACAATTATAAGGGAACAATTATTAGGGAACCTCACTATCATAATTATTACCTTCTATTATAAAAAATATTCAAACTCAATTACAATACACAGCCCCAAACATAAACAAACAATATCTAACATATAAATCAGAAGACCTTGTAAAAATACATCCCTATCTATCCCTATTTGTGCGGCAAAACGTTCGTAAACATTTACTTTCCTGGTAAATGGTTTATTTGTTTCAGTTTAGAATGGGAAATTCGCACCATAACCGTCAGGCGAAACACAAAATTTATGCCACTCATACTCCATCATGTCTCGTTGCATCGTTCAAAATGTCAAAAATTGAACCACGAGAATTCCGCTCCCTGACACCTTCCCCGCAAGGCTGTCACTGGTGTTCGTACACTTTGAAAAAGCTTGGCCACAATCCAGTCCCAAATGATGAGAACAATGTTCCAAGGAATGCCAAGTTAGTCGCATGTACACAAAGCAGCACTGTCACTCTTTCGTCGCATGCCGGGGTGGAGGCATGATCGACACTCGCCGGTCATAAAAATCAATAGTCT